GAGCTTTCCGATGTTATAAAGGTTTGACGGTTTGGGCGGTAGTTAGCCGGAGTTTTTTGACTTCCAAAGTGGCGGCCTCATTTGGTAGAAGAGGAGGCGGAGGAGAAGAAGAGAAGAGAGAAATATTTGCTTTTGATGTTTTTAATATTTTAATAATTTATTTTGACTCATTTCCACTTTTTAAAAAGTTTAGGAGTAAGATTGCAATTTTTACTCTTTTTTTCTTTTTCTTTTTTTATTTAAGTAGAAGGGTATATTGGTTATTTTAAGTTAAAATTTTGATGAAAATGACGTTTTTTGCAATGAACTGTATAAATATGGTGAAAATGCCAAAAAAATAAAACGTATAGAGATTTTGTGCTAATTACCCTTAATGCAAATGGTCCCCAAAAGTCTGTTCATATCACGTCTTTTTGATTTAAACATTTTCAACTTGACACAAATGGTCTTAATCCTTTGCATTTTGGAACAAATAGTCTTTTTGAATGGATTTCGTCCAAAATGATCATTAAATTAAGGCTATGTTTTAGCCCACATTGATTTCTTGTAATGTATTATGGAATAATAAATTGATGAAAAATGTATAATTAAAAAAGAAGGAAAGATTTTTTAATTTGCGTGTAATATTATTTTAATGAATAATGTAAGGTTGAAAATGACTTGTAGAAAAAATAATGGAAAAAAAAAGAAAAAAAAAGTAGGGCTCAATCGAGGGCTAAGTATTATTTTAATTTTGTTTTGGAGGGACTATTTTGTCAAATAAAAAATTATTTATTTTTCTTTTAAAAAGATAAATAATTAAAAAAAAGAAAAAAAAATGTAGTCATCTTCTCCTTAAATGTAGTAATCTTCTCCTTTCACTTGTACCATTAACTCTATCATCAATGTCACTTCATAGTATCGCCATTGCCACCATTACTACCACTGCTCAGTGAAAATGACCCAACACCCAACAAAAACAAACAAAGCACAAAATTTAAAAAGGAAAAGAAAAAGGGTAATTATATATTACCATCATAAAATTTATTAAATGCACCACATTATATTTACACCACAATTAACATATAGCTTTAATAAATACACCAAAAAATTTACAATTATATACCTAATTTTATAAAAAGAAATCTAGGTTTTAATAAATACTCCACAACTAAACTTCATCTTTTTCATTTCTTCTAGACATTTCTCTCCACTGTATACTTTTTATGTTACATGTATCCATGGTTATATGGACTAGATAAGAAAAGTAGAAAACCTTACCCATTTCTTCTCATCCACATTATCAAGAGAGATGGGTAAGGTTTTTCTTCTCATTTACAGTAATTTAATAAATTGCTTTTTTCAAAGAAGGGGAAGATAAAAAAGAAGAAGAAAATTTGATTTCAAAGAAATGGGTCTGAATCTCTTTGTTAGTGAACTTGATTTATAATTTTAGAGAGATCATTGAAATATTTTAAAAGTTATTGAAAGAAGATGGGCCAAATTATAATACACACACGGAGAGAAGCATATTTTACAGTCTTTATTTTGGAAATTTTTGGAGAGTCTAAACTTTTAATGATGAAATTTAAATTTTTGCTGACCTTTATCGCTACGAATTATTACATACCTGGTTTTCTATCTATGTATTTATTCATTTTGACGAGTGAAGTGCCCTGTTCTGGAGGGGATACCTGTTCCGGAGGAACATACATGGGAAGCCGTGGCCTTTTTTGTAACATAATTAATTCTGTGTAGTACAATTTGACTATTCTATTGCTCTTGCTGATCTTATAAATTATATTACTGGAAAACTCCCTTTACTTTTCATTTGGTCTGCATCATTCATAACTCTTAGTCAACATGATATATATACTGCTACTCACTTCACAGATAATGAATTGGAAATAAAATTATTAAGAATGATTAAACAAATTGGACTGTGTGCTCTCCATGCTGTTTTCGATAAAGAGTTGCATTTTGCAATTATAAGATCTAACGAATTGACAAAAAAAAATAATAAAAATAAAAATAGAGTGATTAAACATGTTGATGAATTCTTACATGTGTTATCATGGAACAAGACTAGCAATTATATAAAAAGAAGAAATTAGGTTTAGGAATGTGGTGTGATTAATTAAAAGTATATTAACCCAAATTATGTAATTTTACTTAAGGCTATTTTAGTAAATAAGGAAAAAATTAAAAATTGTGGTGCAATTAATAAATATTGTGATGGTAATATAATTACCCAAAGAAAAATATACTCATCTTCCCAAATTAAATTTCACCCCACTCCCACTTCCAACCATCGATGCCACAAATAACTAGTCCCAACCCCATCACTGTAAATTTTATAAAAAAAAGAGAGGATTTTGTTATATATGAAACATTGAAAGAGATATGAAATCGAAAGGCGGTCTGAACACTTCGGAGTATTCGTTCAAATAAAAACAAAATAAGAACAATTACGACGGATCCAATCCAAAATGACCATTTATGCCAAGAATGCAAAGCTTGGGTCCATTCAGAAGAAGTTTGAAAGGTTTGGACTAAAAATGAGATATGACAAAAGTTTGGGACCATATGCGCCAATTTCTATTAAAATAAACAATAATGCTTACATATTTTTCGCACGTTCGCTGCGTGATTACCACTACGTGAAGTCATAAAAATGTTCAAAAAAAAAAAAAGTGTATTTTAATATTCTCTCTAAAGACATTTTTATAAACCTTATTTTACTATTTTATTTCTACGGACTCTCATAGCGGTCACATAGAGTATGGTTGCCGACTGAGCAATTTCTATCGATTTTGGGGACTATAAGCAATAAAATTCATAGAGTGGTGAAATTTTATATGAAATTTAATTAAGATAAATTAGAGTTTAGTGATTCAATTGAAATTTCATTGATAGTTTAGTGATGGCAAATGTAATTTACCAAAAATAATATGTATAATGACAGTGTACACCAAAATATAAAAGTTGGGTTTGGGCTTGAATGGGGGCTGGATCTTGGAACAGACTAACCTCATTAAAGCCTCGTGGACCGCATCAACAACTGATTTCAACAAAGACTACATTACACATTGGGAAAATTTCAAAAGTAAGAGATTAAGTATGTTATATTTCAAAATTAAGAAAATAAGTTTTAAACTTCAAAAATTAGATATTTATTAAATTTTATTTATGATTTAATTAATTAATTAATTATATTTAAGTCACAAATCTATACAATGTGGTCACAAATTAAAAAAATTATGTCAAAAATTATTTTACGATCAAAATTCAAAAAAAAATTTAGATCACAATTTTTTCATTGGTCACAAATCAAAAGATTAATTAGTCACGAATTAATTTTTAGTCACACTTATCAATTTATTGGTCACAATTTATTTCTTGGTCATAAATCAAAAATTTTATAGGTTACAGATTATTTTTTGATCACGAGTCAAAAATTTTACAGGTCACAAATTATTAATCAATCACAAAGTCAAAAATTTTATTGGTCACAACTCATTTATTCATTGAAAATTATTGGATTAACTGGTCATAATTAATTTTTCGGTCACAACTAAATCAATTGTGAGTCACAGTTTTCAACCAAATTATTGGTCACAAACACAGTAAATCACCATCTCACCCACCCTAACCTACTCCGCCACCGCTGCTACCATACCACATCATCACCAACGACCACCACACAACACAAAAATGCATAAATTGAGATAACACCACCTTGCCATAGCAACAAAATCGTCACCATCTCACTGGACCTCCAAAACACAAACGACCCCCACAAATCCAACAACAACAAAAACACCACCACCATTACCCACACTACCGCACCACCACCACCACCATTACAAAATCATATCCATCCACACCCAACAAATCAGAAACTCACCCCTGCTCACTCAAATCTCGCCTGAACACCACCACATACCTTTAACAAAATAACTACCGGTCTCCCTAGTCCACCAATATTCCTTACCTTGCCAGCAGCCACTCCTACACAGACCTATCCACCTTCGTCCTCATCAACAATCCTATAACCCAAAACCAGTCGCGCGATGACACTCATCGTTGCTCCTCACTGTATGTACTTTGTGCAATGCTCCTTGCAACTATTCGATACTATCGTTGATTCGAGCAACACTTCTACCCGCGCTGTCAACGGTGGTCGCCCTTCGATGTCGCTGTTTAGATCCGTTCGCAGAGGCGTAGTTGCTATTGGAGGTGACACTCACTCCACTATGATGGCTTCATCGACATAGTGTCATCGAGCGAGTGATCAGTCGTCGGAGAAAAGAGATAGAAAGATACGAGAGAGAGAATGATTGATTTGGGGATGAATTGATTTAATTAGTAATGTATTACTACAATATTAAATCTTAGAGAAAAATAAGTGAGAAAAATTAGGGTTTTCTTATTTTTGAATAGTAAAACTTTCCACCCGATTTTAGAATGTGGAATTTTTAAAGTATAGTATTGTGTAACTTCCACTTACAAATTGTGAAAATTTTCATAATTAAAATAGTTTGATGATCAGAGGTGAATTGAAAGTTAAGAAGCAGTGAGAAATCTAAATATTTCTTAGGAGAAAATTAGAGATGTCTTACGTTACCCATAAATATGAAAAAAAAAAATAAAATCCAAAAATCAAGTGGTATATGACAATGACATGAAAAATTTGTTTGCAACTCCATTGTATTACTCTCATTCTTCAAATAGATTTATCAACACATGGGAGTATAGCAGTGTCAGTTTGTGAAGCCCTTATTTTGTCCGGTCACATAGATGTATTCTTCTAGACTATATTCTTAGTCGGTCCAAACCCGGTAGACGGTATCTCAGTTCTACCAAAAGCACGCATGCTAGACCATATTCTTAGTCGACTCCAACTGATACTTTAGTCTATCTCACATATTTAAATTTGTGATTTCTAAAAAAAGTAACTTTTAAGCACAACCAAAGCATCTACTGATCGAAGCATTCGCCACCATAAGAACTACTCTTGGTTTCCTTAGAACTATACAACATCATGTTTAATGAAACAAACAGTACAATATCAGTATATCCAAAACATTACAATCAAGAGAATCTGTTATGTGGGGAATTCCCCTTGCTAAAATTAGAAACCCTTCCATCGAAAGCTAATCAAACTAACAACAAAATCACCATAATACAATCAAACCCACCCGAAAAACAACCAACATTTATATATAAATAGAAATATCGTTCTTAAATATATTACACAAACCTACTTAACATTAGGCTATGCGTGGCGTTTCTAAGTTCTTGCTCAGCTCGTCCAACCTCTTCATTCTCGCTTTCTCGCTTTCACTTACCAGCTGTGTACCATTACCAAAAACAACGATAAGTATTAATCATAAGTTGATTTTTTTCTGAAAATAATTATAATCATAAGCGTTTAGGGTATCTTTATCTACCTCCATTAATCTTGTGATCAACTGTACTTTTTCTTTGTTCTTTTCTTCGAAAGCTTCGAGGGCTTCTCTGTACTCCCTCTCCTAAGACAGTAGTAGTTCAAAATTAAGAAATCAAACCAAATTTATTCGAACAATAACCAGAAATCTTTAGTAGTCTTAGCTAAAATTCAAGAAAGTACTATCTATTGACATATTGCACCTTCTTCTGGCATGTTTGTCCAAGTGGTTTTATCTCCTTGTTGACCGAATCAATCTTCTTGCGAACCAGTGAAACTTCCTTTCTCATCGGATCTGATAGGGCGTCGAGCTCCTGATAAAGTAGTTTCAAGAAATTGTCAGTGGAAAATTTACAAGAAAGAACTTTTGATACCTAATTATGCCTTGACACTTCCTACATGAAATAAATTGTTCACGGTCTATATACTTACAACTATGCAAATTAATCTACACTTCCAACAAACCAATATATCTTTTGCGTCCGTCCCAGAGTTTTCCGACCCTTGGCCGACCCGGACGCTACGGGGAGTCCTTATATACTCCTGGGTAGGGGGCAGGAGTGTAGGAGCCGAGCCTTGAGTTCTGAGTCCCAGGTCCATGGTACCGCAATTAGCCTCTTTCATCGACTCTTGTGAATGGTACTAATCCTCTTTATACACGAAGAGCATGACTCATCTAAACATTGAACTATCCCAGCTAAAATCTAAAGATATTAGATAGGACAAACTATTTATTTAAATTATGTCTTCAACGTGCTCATTCACAGTTTCATAAATAGATGGCAGCGACACCTCTGCCTGCTTGTAAATTATATTTTTTCAAGCTTTTAGACAAGATCTTTCAAACACTCAGATTCAGGTATACTGTGTGAAGACACAAAATTCCAAAATTGAAATGCTTAATTTTGTTAGTTCACAGAGTGAAAAATTAGAAAACTTATTTTTGTTTTGTTCCTTGAAACCATATACTAAACATCTCTACTTTGATTATTTATTCTAAAGTTCTGAGTCTAAAATATGTGAAAGATGCACAAAATAAAACTACAAGCCCATGAATTTATTTACAAAGTTTTTTCGCTTAATTATGCATCATAGTGGATGCAATCTAAACTAAATTATTATCCTAAAATTAAATTTCATTATTTTAAACTGATGCCTAAAAATCATAAAAATACAGAAAAGAATAAATATATACCTCCCTGATTGTAGCCAAACGCCTAGTTTCTTGTTCAACTAGACCCAACTGTGCTTGAACTCTCTCCTTAACCTCCATTTTCTTCTTCTGAATCTCCTCCTCTTTAGCCCTAAATGTCAAAAGAGCAGATTTCGACATTTCTTCCTCTTCTTTTGTCATAATCCCAGTGAAACTCAAACTTCCTGAAATCTGCCCTGTTTGCATCAGAGACTGTTGGGTTTCAAATGACCTCTGATTTTGCATAATTTTTTTTTTTTTTTTAAAAAGAAAAATTCCTCCTCCTCCTCCTCCTCCTCCTCCTTCTTGTTCTTCTTTTCTTTTCTTTTATCTTTTGCTTTTGCTTTGGAATGACTAATGATGAAGGCTCCCACTTTGTTGCGTGTTTGCAGGTCTTAAATGGTTAAAGTTTTCAGGGCAGGTGGGCTTTGGTAATTCTTTGTGACCCACAGGAGAAGAAAAATAATTAAGAAGCCTTTCCTGGATTGATAAAGACAGTGTATGTGTTGCTACTTGAGCATCGGAATGAAATGGTCCAACTGCCAACCACTTCCAACGGATAGATTCGCATTTTCTCCTTGGATATACATACACGTATAACTAACCTTAATATTAAGTTTATTTTATCTAACAATAAGATTAAATAAATAATATTGAAGATATTCGTAACAGCTTAGCACCACACATTGATTCAGAAAAGATATAGACAGAGAGAAGTTCAAATTTTTTAAAGAAAGTAAATAAAAATTAGATTTTTGACGTGAAAGCATCGAAGTTGAGCTAAAGGGTTTAAATTCTTGGATTTTGTCTTATATTTAAACAAATCTTTGGACCAGTTCTCAAATTTTCAAAGAAATCAATCAAATCCCATTTGATTTTGATAACACTACTTAGCATTATATATGCTAAGACTAACTTGTCGATATTTTCTTTTCTTCTCCTTTTGAAAAACCAACAAAATCAGCTGAAAAACTTCGGCGTTCTTGTCGAACTATTTTCAGTTTAAATTTTGGAAAACACCCAAAACTTATTTTGTTTAATATTTTGAAAACAAGATTCAATTTATAACATAAATTAAAAATAGATTTCCAAAAAATAAAAAAAATTCAAAATCCTGCTTCTAACAACAAATTCAACCCACCCGAATAACCCAGTCTCCTAAAAGAGATAATAATTCGTCTCAGGGACTCATACATTAATCTATAGATTTACCTTTTTGTTCGATCATATTTATTTTTGCTATCAGTATTTAAGCTTATAAACTTAGGTCACTAGTTATTGAATTGTTCCAGCAATCTTATCAATCTCAATCACATTATGTAATTATTAGTTCATGTTGTTATTATTTTTTTCAATTTAATTTTTTAATTGTTGTATTTTATTTTGTAGCGAAAAAAATATTTTAAAATTTGTTAACTTTAGAATATATATTACTTGATAATATTATTAACATGAATTATTTATTTTACTAAA